CCCCCCCCGCCTCCCCCGCCCCGGTTTTCGTAGGAGATCTCTTTCTTTATTTCTCTCTTTCCGGCCCCCTCCTCTACTAACCTACTACGGGGGACCTTGACAACCGCCCCGGCGCTGGGGGATCCCTTCGGATCCCTCCCCCCCCGCCTCCCCCGCCCCGGTTTTCGTAGGAGATCTCTTTCTTTATTTCTCTCTTTCCGGCCCCCTCCTCTACTAACCTACTACGGGGGACCTTGACAACCGCCCCGGCGCTGGGGGATCCCTTCGGATCCCTGCCCCGCCGCGCAGCTTCCTCCTCCACGATCAGGGCGGAGGCGAGGAGGGCCCGGCCGCCACTCCGGGAAGAGTCACTTTTTCCGGCTCCCGCCGGGCCTGCCCGCCTGCCTGCCTTTCTTCTTCTCTCTCCTCCGGGGATCTGCTGATCCCGGGAATCTCCTTCCACGCGCGTTCGAGATCTCCCCACGGCCTCTCCGTGCGGAAGCAGCGGCGGATCCTGGAGCTCTGTTTTTAGAGCTGGCGGTTTTCCGCAGGCCGTGAGTTGTTCTTTCCAGCCTCCTTCCGCCGTGAAGAGATCCCGTAGAATGATCCATCCCTGGGTTGGTGGGAGGGAGGGAGGATCTGTTGGCCGTGGACCCGATCCTTAGTGACTTGTCGGGAATTCCTTCCAGCTATCCGAAGGGACAGGGGGTGGGAAGTGCCTGTGTTCCCCCCTCCCCAGGAGAGGTGACACCGAGAAGGGGCAGAAGAATCGGGCGGCAGCGGCGGGGGGGGGGGATCCCTTGCAGCTCCCCGGATTTTCTCTTTATCAACAGGGTTATCTCGGGGGTTGGGGGGCCGGGCAGGGCCCCCTTTCCCTTGGAGGGCCGTTGCCCCCTTGTACCTTCTTGGCCACCTTTAGCATCCAGTTACGTTACACTACAACTCCCGTGGGTTGCCTGCCCTGTTCAGAGCGGATGGGAGTTGTAGTCGAAAGCAGGAGGAAGCCACCAGGCTGGGAAAGGTTGCCCGAAACGGTTTCCTTATGAAACAGGAGTGGGACACCTGGGGCTCCCGCCAGGAACGATGGATGTTGTAATCCAGAAACCTGCAGAGGGCTTCTGGGCTAGGGTCGTTCTCTGAACTTGGAAGAGGTATGTGCCTGTTTACTCAGGAGTAAGCCCAACTATGCCATGCAGCTTTTATTCCCAAATAAATAGGGCTAAATCTCCTGTACTCTTGAAACTTAAAATGCTTCTGACCTGCTTGGCCAGCTGCAGGGGACACCTGGGAGTTGTGGTTTTGTGAGGCAGGCAGAGGGCGGTCATGATCCGCTGCTGGCAAGTCTCCTGTTCCAGAGTCCCCTGAGAGGAGCCCAGGGCCTTAATCCCAGGGAGGGACACGTGGGGGGGGGGAAGGAGGGGGCTGCCCAGCAGGTCCCAGGTCGGCTTCCTGGGTCTCGCCCGCTGGTCTCTCGTCTCTTCCTCATAGCAGACGTTTCTGGCAGGTGGCCGGAAGTGGGTCTTGGGAGTTGCCTCTTCGCTTCCTGGTGCCCTTAAACCCCCCCCCCATCCTGCTCCCCATCTGCCTCATTTTCCAAGGGAGTGGAGGGGGCAGAATTTATGCCCCACCGGTCTTGGAGGAGCCTTTCTCTCTCCAGTTAGCAGAGCAGAGCGGCACAAAATGTGACAGGCATTTTGGATCGTATTGCATTTTTAATTTTTTGCCAAGCCTCTTGAATTTTTGATCAGGAAAGCTGGTAGCAATTTAAAAGTACCAAATAATGAATAAATGAAGCAAATACTTGAGAGCACGGTTGCTTCGTGTAGCCATGCTTTAGAAAAGAATTGGGCCTGTAAGTTTCTTTTCTATTTTAAAATATTCCTATCCTTTGTCAGTAACTCCCACAGTACGAAACAGGAGAACGGTGCATTGATCCCTAAAAGGAGACCGCCGGTAAAACTGTGTGGCCATATCTGGTCCAGAAATCTATCTGAGTTGGCTTGATATATTTTACAGCGCAATCCTGTACTCCTGTGTGCAATCTGTAATCCAGCAAGCTTCCTTCTCTGCACTGCCGCCGCTCAGAGCCTCTATCAGTATCACAACTTGACTGTAGGCAGTGTCTTTTTCATTGTACCTTTTCACATGGGGGGGGTTTGTATCTACCCTTGTGATTTCTTTCCTCCTACCACTGTGGTTTTCTGCAGCAAAGCAGGCTGCAAATATTGCCCCACTCACCTGCGCCTCCTGCATGCAGCCAGGCACGTGTTCGCTTTACCTGTGTTGCCTTTCTTTAAAACACACTCTCTGTTTCCAAGGCTTGATGTGGCCTTTTCTCTCCCCCAGACCCACTTCTTAATCACTTCTGAAAATGTTCCTCGTTAAAAACTTCCTTGGCGGCGGTGGGGGTGGCGGCGGAGGCGGCGGAGGGAACATCAACATCGGCAACATGATTGGGGGATTTTTAAGCGGCGGAGGGGGCGGTGGCGGCGGCGGAGGAGGAGGAGGCGCCATGGGCATCCTCGGAGGAGTCATCAGTGCCATCAGGTGAGCGAGCTGTATTACTCGTAAGTAATGCCTTACCTGGTCACCTCTGGTGAGTAAAATTGGCCCTCCAAGTGACCAGAAGCCAAACCAGGGGAATGTTTTTTTTCCCCCTTGGACGCGTGGTATGGCTGATGCAGAGGCAGGCAGGCAGGCAAAACGTTGTCAGGGTCTGGTGATTTCTTTAGAAGGCTCTGTGGGTTTGGGTTGCCAGCGGCCTCTGCCAGGTCCATTTGGGCCCAGGTGGGAGGGAGGGAAAAGCAGAGGGTGTCTGGGATCCCTGAGGGGAGGGGGGGGGGGAGGGGGAGGGGGCAGGTTCTTCTTTGAAAAGCCAAGCCCTGCCCTGCTTTGCATGACTGGCCCTCTCTCTGCTCGGCCTTTGTTGGCTGTCAGACTGGTTCCCTGGGTCGGAGACAAAGGGCTGAGCTGTCCCAGGAAGTTTAAAGAGCCGATCCAGGATGGCTGCGGGGTTGGGCGGGAGCACAGCTGAAGTTGACTATCCCACTCTAGGAAGCCCAGCCTTGGGGGCTCTCTGGAGAGAGCGGGGGCTCCCCCAGGGCTCTGAGCCAAGAGTGGGATCCTGGAGAATTGGGTGGGATCGTGCCTCACCGTAGGATATTTTGGACTACAGTATGTGGCCTGCCTTGACCAGAACGTCTCTCTCTCTTCTCTCTCTCTCTCTCTCTGCCTGGATGACAGTGAAGCAGCCGCTCAGTACAACCCAGAACCTCCGGTAAGGCTCTGATCTGCAGGGGAAGAGCTTGTGGGGGTCACCCGTGGGGTGGGGAAGGGGAGCCTGGGAGATGCCAAGAGGCTCTTTTCCTGAGCCCAGAGGCTTGTGGCCCAAACACTGGACCCGGCAGGAGGAGCAAAAGGCTCAGCCTGGGGCTTGGGGGTCATGGCTTAGGGACTGAGCGGCAGCCGCTATGGGCCAGCCTGCTGTTTTCTCTCCGCCCTGCCCGAGGCCTGCCTACGGCTTAGCCTTCCTCTCCCTCCTCCTCCTCCTCCACCTCCTCCCAGCCTCCTCGCAGCCACTTCTCCAACGTCGAGTCGAACGAGAGCGAAGAGGTGCGGCAGTTCCGGAGGCTGTTCACGCAACTGGCTGGAGACGTGAGTGGACCCCCTTTTTGGACTCCAGTGGGGCAGGCGTGGCATGGCGTGGCACACCCGGCTTCAGGCCCGGAGTCTTCTCTCCTCCGTGAGGGTCTTTGCTGGCCGCCTCGCCAGCTCTCTAGGACGTCAGGCAGGGCCCTCCCCTGGTGGCCTCCCCGCCAAGGCTTAGGCGCGGCCCTGCTGAGCCCGAGAGGTTAGATGGGGTGTGGTCTGGCTGGGATGCCAGCGAGGAGCGCCATTTCTCTCCCCCCCCCCTTTCCCTTTTTCCAAACAGGACATGGAAGTGAGCGCGACAGAACTGATGAACATCCTCAACAAAGTGGTTACCAGACGTGAGTGGGTGACATTTCCCCCCCCCCCGGGGTGGTGCTGGGAGCCACGAAGCCCTGTCCTCCCCCTGCCCCCCACCCCCGATTCCGTGTGAAGGAAAACCTTATTTGGCCACTGGAGTACAATGAGCTTTGCTACAAAACTGGTCTCCTGTTGGCCCCACCCCCCAATTTGGTCAAATCCTCCCTCAAGCCAAGGTTGGAAAGCCCTCATCCCTGTCCAGATGCGGTTGAACTCCAAAGCCCACCAGCCCTAGTCATCCTAGCCGATTTCAAGCAAGGATGAATGTGGGGGATTCGTCAGCCCTCCCCTGGCCTGCCCTCCAGTGCCCCACTCAGGCTGCAGCCTTGCAGAGGCAACTTCCTCTGGACAGCAGTTCCCAGAATAGTTGTCTTGGTTGGGGGATTCCAGAGGTTACTTTAAAAAAAGTAAGATTATCAAACTCTGCCTGTCCCCCATGGTTGACATATTGCGTTCAATGAGGCTGATGCCCAGGGACCCGAATCTTGGCTTGTGGGAGAGTTTCCCTTCTCTCCTCCCTCCCTCCCTCCCTCCCTCCCATAATTTTAATTTATTTTCAAAAATGCAGGTAAGACCACACAGAGACTCTTAAAATGAGCATGTTCCCCATCCTTCCCCAAAATACAAAACTGGAAACGTATCTCACGCACCCACGTCTGCTTTTGCACCATCTGGTCTTCCTGGCGCTTTCTCTCAACTGGCTTTGTCTGCTTTCTAGATCCGGACTTGAAGACAGATGGGTTTGGGATAGACACATGTCGCAGTATGGTGGCCGTCATGGACGTATCCTTTCCTGGGCTCCAGCTGTGGGGCAGGGGCGGGGTTTGCCCATATATTTATGGAGCATAAGATGCAGGGAAAAAACGGAGGATAAAAGGTAGCACAATCTCTCACCCCCCCACCCCAAGTTGATATTCTTTCCACCTTGCACATTAATTATTTATAACATTTAATAAATTAATTATGGCCATGCTTTTCTCCTGGTGTGCTGAGAACCAAGGCAGGGGGCAGCATGAATTAAAACCAGGTACGACTACAAATACAGCCGGTTGTACTGTGAACATACCCTTAAAGCAGTTTATTGAAACCCCCATGGAATTAAAACTGTGTCAAAGTCGTTTCCACCCAGGAGAGAAAAAAGGAGTCGTGGAGGCATCCAGCATTAAAACCAGAGGGAGAAAGGGAAGAGCGAGGCCTGTGCTTTAGCCGGACACCTGGGGGTTTCTTCGCTCTCTCTGCTCGGCCCAACCCTCCCGTTCCTGCAAGTTGATGGCTGTGAAAGCAGCTCTCTTGTCTGGTTCAAGAGCACAGCTTGGAAGAAGGTCCTTTTTTTGGACCACAACTCCCAGAGTCCCCAGGCAGTAGAGGTTCTGGGAGTTGTTGTCTGAAAGAAGGGCGTTTTCCAGGTGTGCCCACGTGCATGCCTTCCGACAGCGTTTCTGAAGAAGAGCTGTTTTAGTCTCTTGCAGTGAAAGCAAGAAGGGCCTCGATCCTGTTGCCTGAGCAGAGGGAGGGTAACGACACAACATGGGGCTGCAGCGAGAGGGAGGGGCTCGGATTCCTGCGGGCACCACCCTGCCCACTGCTGGCACCAGGGAACACTTGCATCGGCGGCAAGATCCCATTTTATTTTTAGCTCAGCGGGAACTTGGTGATATGCCGGCTAGAGAGCCTTGTGGCGCTTGGGCTTTATGTGGCCCAGAAGCCCTTGCTGCCTGAGGCCGGCTGAAGCGGCAGAACCTTACAGACCTTGCAGAGCTTCGGCCCCAGCCGGGAAGGCCGTGGCCGGCGAGCTGGCAAGGGCACAGCTGGGCTCTGGCTCTTGGGGCCGATGCTCTGAATCTGGACCCTTCCTGCCCTGCTTTAAAGGGGGGCCCGGGAGGGGGGAGGTGGCTGCTGCCGTGTGGGCTTCCTCTTCTGTCCCTTTTCCCCTTGACTGGCTTCTGCCCAGAGCGACACCACTGGGAAACTGGGATTTGATGAGTTCAAATATCTTTGGAACAACATCAAGAAGTGGCAGGTAAGCCAGCCCCCCCCCACCTTCTGCTACAACATCAAGAAGTGGCAGGTAAGCCACCCCCCCCCCCGCCTTCTGCTAAGTCCCGTTTCGGGGCAGCTGAGTGGGGGTGTCGTCGTCGTCGTCGGGGGCGGCCCTGGGTGCGGTTGGGGAGGAAGGGGGGCTGTGTTGGGTGGGGTGTGGGCAGCTGTGGTCCTTCCAGCTGTTTCTGGCCCACTCTGGCAGCACAGCTGGGGCGAGGGGTCTTCTGGGGTTGCTCTCTGGGAGCCCCCGGCCTGCAGCCCCCCCTTCCCCTGGGATGCAAGGAGTGTGTGCGTGTGTTTCACAGAAGCTTCCCCCTGACTCTCTCCCCTGCCCTCGCTGTCTTTCTCCGGCCTCAGGGGATCTACAAGCGCTTTGACACTGACCGATCCGGGACCATCGGCAGCAGTGAGCTCCCAGGAGCCTTTGAGGCCGCCGGTAGGTGGGAGGAGGGGCGGTTTGAGCAGGAGGGGGGCCCGCAGGGGACGGGGTCACCCCCCACGGGGAGCACTAGGGCCGGGTTGGGAAAGGACAGGGCTGAGGGCTGGCAGCATGGGGGGGGCTGGCTGCAAGCCAGAGAGGACCGCAAGGGGCAGCCAGGGCCCCCCTGCCCCCCCACGGCACCTGATGTTTTTTCAGGGGAGGGGGCAGCAGGAGAGGGAGGGCAGTGGGGAGGGGGGCTGAGGCCTGACGTGCAGGGGAGGTCGCTTTTCAGCTGAGGCCTGTCCTGCGGAGACTCATCTCTTCCCCCCCCTCCACCGCCACCCCCCCTCCCGCCTGCTGTCCTTCTCCTGGCTAGGCTTTCGGCTCAACGAGCAGCTGTACAGCATGATTGTGCGCCGATACTCAGACGAGAGCGGCAACATGGACTTCGACAACTTCATCAGCTGCCTTGTGCGCCTGGACGCCATGTTTCGTAAGTGGCGCGTCCGTTTCCCTGCAGAGCTTTCTCCTGCAGCCAGTGGGGGACGGGGGCTCTTGGCCGTCGCCTTCTCCCCCACTCCCTTCTGGTGGCCCCGGGAGCCCCTCGTCTCTGCCCCACAGAGGCCGCTGCCTCTGCACCTGTTCTGCTGCTGGGGGGGGGGAGCCCACCTCTGCTGCGGGGCTGCTGGTTGCCCACAAAGCAGTCCGTGTAAGGACTACAGCTCTCAGGATCCAGGATCGGGGCCTGTTGGGGATGCTGGGAGCTGTTGTCTGGAAGCAGGTGTCCTGGGCTCTGGTGGTTTCCCACGTGGGGGGCATCCTGGATAGGTGGGCTCTCCAGCTTAGCCGGCCTCCTCATGGCACTAATGGGGGGAGGAGGGGGAGGAGGAGGAGGCGGCGCTGGAGGGCTTGCCCAGGTTGGGCCCCTTCTCTCCTCCCCCCCCCCCCGTGCAGCTGAGCAGCTTCCCTTCTCCTTTCAGGTGCCTTCAAGTCCTTGGACAGGGACGGCAGTGGACAGATCCGCGTGACCTTGCGGGAGGTGAGGAGGGTGTTTGGGGAGGGGTGAGATCAGGCGCATTCCCCCCACCAAGAACCCAAAAATGGGGGCCAGCGAGAGGGAGAGAGGCTCACAAAGGCTTCTGGGGAGCCGGGTTCAGGGAACGGGACAAACTCTGGCCCAGGGGGAGCAATGGTAACAGGACAGTTTGCTTCACCTGCTTCCTTTTGGGGAAGAACTTGCACACTGGCTGGCCTTCAGAGGAAGACTTGCCCATTACACTGGAATTAACCCACCCCCCCTTGCCCACACACAGACCCTTCCACTAGGGGCTAGGACGGTGCGGTGGAATGATTGTCCTTGGTAGGCGGCTGGGTGTCCGGGCAGAGGAGGCACCTTCGTTTAGCGTCCGGGCCTGCTTTTGTCCCATCCTTCTTCCAAATGAGGCCCACAAGGCATGGTCTGTGCTCTCCTCCTCCTCCTCTTCCTCCCAGTCTCCTCTGTCCTGTTTTAGCCTCCCAGGAGGTTTGAAAGAGGGAGGAAGCGCCTGGCCCCTCACATGGAGTCTGTCCCCCCCCACATCCCAGTCCTGGGGCAGGCGCGGCAATTTGGAGGAGCAACAGAGACGCGGGTCTGGGAGAGAACTGGGGGGGGGCAAGGTGGGGGGGCAAGCAGGCCGGCTTGGGTGGGACTGAGGGGGAAGGACAGGTTGGAGAAGCAGCAGAGACCCGGCCCAGCGGCCTGGAAAGGTGAGGGGCTGACCCTGGTTCTCTTTGTGGCTCTTGTTTTCGCAGTGGCTGCAGCTCACCATGTACTCCTAAGGGCCAGCCCCAGCGGGAGACTCGCCCCCCCTCATGCCCCCCCCATGATCCCACCGGCTTCACCGAGCCTGTTCTGGAACGGGTGGAATTCTGGGCAGCCCTTTTCTGCAACGACCGGAGAAGCCCTGCGGACCCCCCCCCTTTTCTCTCCTATTGTGTTCTTTTCTCTTCTGCTGCTTTTGTCGGAAAGCGACGAAAAAAGAGGGAACCCTTTTAGTAGACTTTGGTTTTGCATTTATAAATCATTGTTTAGAAACCTGGTAATATTTATGTGAAGCATTTTAATTCTTGCGCTAACACTGTCTTCCCCTGCGAGTGCTGGCGAGGGTCTTGTTAGAGAGAATTTTGGTTTGAAGTGGCTTTTGTTTTCTTTTTGAGGCTGGCTTGGTTTTCAACAGTACTGTGTAGAGATCTTCTGTTTTTCTCCAGTTTTACTCACCAGACATTTTCCCATGTTTTTTTTGGGGGGGAGAGTTCCTTCTGAGGCCTTGCCCCCCCCGACCCAAGGAAGTCCCCTTGCCTCAAGCCTGCAGCCGGTGTCCCATAGCAGGATCTGGAGTGGGTGTCTGCCCTGCCCGACAGCCAGCAATCCACCCTTCCTAGAGCCACAGAACGAGGAGGAAGGTTGTCCCACCAACGCTCCAGCCTCCTCCTCCTCCCTTAACAGGCAGAGACACGGGGGGCGCTGTTGAGCTTAGAGGAAAGTGATTTGGCTGCAGTGGGTCTATTCCCATAGGAAGGAAGCCTTCCTTGTTTTGGGGGGAGGAGGAGGAGGAGGAGGCCTGCCTTCCCCCAGGCCTTGGTGGGGGTGGAGTTGCAAAAGCAATAGATTTAAGGGCTGTTGAGGCCCCTTCCCCGAACTACCTGAGCAATGCTAGTTTGAGAGGCATCAGAGTTTTATTAGCTTTCTTTAAAGTCCAGAGGCAGCCAGTGTGTTCCCGCTTAGAGGGGGTGGTTCAAAGGCTGCTCTCTGTAGCAGCACCCGATGCCAGTACCCCAAAGCACTAGCACTTTTGTCAGAGATGCAGCCTTACTGGGCAAGATGATGGGATGGGGGCCCCTGGGCCAGGCAACAGGCCCCCTGACCCCCTGCAGCCCCACCGTGGCCCTGCATGCCCACTCTGCACATGTCTCGTGAAGGAATAAAGTCTAGCAAGGCGCTCGGTTCTACCTGTGCTCTGCCTTGGTGATCCACATGCTGGCAAATGCGCTGAATTGCATGCGCCCTTGAGTAGGGCGTGGCCCCCATGCTCTGATGTTTCAATATCTGCTTTTAGAATAGCTGCCGTGAGTGTCAACAAAGGGCAGTTAAAATCAAATGCTTTGAGTCCAGATTATTCAGACTACAGCCCAGAGATTGACTGGTTGCCCCAATGAAATACTTTTACAGCTGCCTGGTAGTAAACTGTGACCTGATCCTAATGAAACGCCCCATTTGGCCCACTGGGGCTTCATTGCTGTTTCTTTGCAAGAAGCTGATTAATAAAGGACACTCTTTTTTTTGGCCTTCCTTTGATATGTGTTTGATTTATGAGACAGGAGGGAGAGGAGAGGCGCACCCCTTCTCTTGAGCCACGGAGGATCTCTGCCGTGTCCCTTCTCACGTGGAGGCTTGCCTTCAGGTGTGCTGAGGCTCTCTCTGCCACCACAGCCTCCATCCTCCCCGCCCTGTTTTATCAAAGCGTATCCCAACAGCAATAATAAAGTGGCATGACCAGATTGCCACCACAGGTTTGTGGGCTCTTTCCTGAGCCGGATACATGATGGTTTGGCCCCTCTCCCTGCGGCACGTAATCCGGCTTAGCTCCCCCTCTGGTCAAACCTGTTTGCATCCTTGATTGCAGCAGCACAACAACCCTGCTGGGTAGGTGTGCATTAGGGGAGCTTTGTGATACTTTTGTGGTTCTTGGATAAACGTATTCGTAGATGTAAAAAGGATTGTGTGCGCCCCTCCCCCCCGGAGAAGGATGAAGGCTTTGGGCCTCCAACGTCCCTTGTCCACTTTTGTTGCACCACGCTGCTTTTTCATGCAGGTGGGGGAAGGCCCTGCTCAGCATCCTTTTGCCAGGGGCTTCTCTCCCGCCCCCTCGAAAGGGAAAGGCAGTGGGGGCAGGGATGCACCCCTTGCCTTTCAGGATGGCAAAGGGGTCCCACCTTCTCCTTTCCAGGAGAGACGGCACAGCAGAGCCAGCCCTGCATGTCCCTGAGCTTTCTGGGCCTGACTGTGCCAACCCGTCCCCTTGGCAGATGGCCTCTCGTGGTGGTTCTTCTAGTGGCTTCAGAGGGTGGCTTCGTCCGGGGAAAGATGGGCAGATCCCTGTTTCTGAGCTGTGAAAAGGTGGGTAAGTGGGCGGCAATAATGCCTCTTGCGGTGCGTAAAGGGGAGGACTCGAACCCACAGCTCCTGAGTCCCAATCCAGCACTCTGCCCACTGCTCGGCACTAGCTCTCCGGTTGCTTCTATGGCGTAGGAGGTGGCTTCCCTCCTCCCCACTGCTTCCCACAACAGTCCTGTGGGGTGGGTTAGGTCATGAGAGGGTGACCGGCTCCATGACTTCCATGGCTCTGCGGGGGCCTAGAAGGGCCTGGATCGACCCCCTGCCTCGGTCCAGCATGGAGGCCATGCCATATCCTTCTGGCAGCTCACCAGGTCTGCTCCAAGCGGGTAGCTGTGTTGGGCGGTTGCAGCAGCAAAGGACGGTCCTTGAAGACCAACCGGTATTCCTTGAGGCAAGCATTTTGGGGTCTGCAGCCCCACCGTTCCCGTAGAGATCCATGGAGTGCCATCTTCCACAGGGGGCCACGCTCCATCCATGGGACGGGACGGGACGGGCTGCCACCTGGTGAACAGGCCACAGGCACTTGTGCCAAACAAAACCTGTCCTTCTTGCCAGGCCACAAGAGGAGTCTTTGGGAAGAGGCTTCCAGAAATAGCGGCTGCTGCCGATTTGGTGACCTGTTTATTCAGCCCAAGGCTGTGAACTGGCTTAGGAGGTTTGAGGGACAGATAGAGCGAGTGCCTTTTAAAAGTTTCCAGTTGTGCAAGGCAGCGAAGGGGTTTCTTCCCATTTCCTGGCAACTGTGGCCGGGCCAAGACTAGC